TATTCTAAGTGGTAGCTTACAATATCTGTGGTTTTGTGTAATATCTGTCGAAAATCAACATCTAAAGAACTTGAGAAGAATAATTAAATGGTTCATATGAAAATAATCGGTTTGCCTAATTGAATAACTCCCGGGCTAACTCCCCATTCCGCCACTTCGCATAGGGTCTTTTTCCTCTCTCCTGCCATTCCACGGTTCGTCCCTTCTGACATCCGTGCAATCTGAACCACACCACCTCTTACAGTCTTGTGTCCCCTACCACCACATTGAGAACTGCTTTAGTAATTGTGGTACAGGGGGAGGAGCGCCACCTACCGGCTCAGATCACCACTTCTAGCGGCACAACAACCTGCAGAAATGTGATGTGGAAATGATCGCTGCTCTAACTCACATCTTGTCTCTAAGGTCAGCGAGAACAGCACCAGCCATCTCATTAGGAAAGTTACTCAACACAGATTTACTTCTGACAGTTTCTCAGATATATTTATTGAAGCAGTGAATAAGAATTTCATAGTTTAAAGACTTTAAATTACGGGTATTTACTGAGTGCTGATTATTAATTACATATTTAATTAAATGAAAATGAGAATGAAAAAAAAACTAGTTAGTGTGTTGTGGTCTGTGAATAGTTTGGAAATTGAATGGTCCACACCAGGGGCGTAGCATGTAAACAAATTACAAGTTTTGGAATGCATGAATAACATAATATTGACGGATAGATGCGCGTGTGCATTTTACAGATAACCATTCAGATCACCTCTAAGTGCCCTGCAGAATTTTTAAGTGAACGACGTTTACAGAGCTAAAATACATCCAAAGTATGTATTTGACGCTTTTATTACCTGACCATTCTTGCAATTAAAGGTACGATGAATTGCTTAGCACTGTAATGCGACTATAACAGTTCAGTGTTAAGTCTTCTGGGAAGTCATGAATTTCCAAATTCGGTGTCTTTATATAGAATATATAAAAGAATACTAATTACGTGGGTTTCATACAAGTTTAACAGCATCATGAAAGATCAAATAAGATCTTCAAACTTAATATTGTAACGCAACGGGGGTTGCTACAATATTTTAATACCTTCGCAGTTTTTATTCTCATGGCGCATCACTCGATTTTACCCTAGGGGCGATGCATTTACTCCAGCTTCTAAAACCCATACGTGCGTGCACGTTCTTCTGGTATCTTATGCTCAAGTCCGCGTAATATTTAAAGGCAAGGTAAAAGCTCCGTGAAGTTAGCACCCCTAAGGACAGCACAAACGATTAAACCCACCTCATTCGTAAGTGCTACGTTTGTGCTGAAATTAGCGAAATTAGCGTTTGTGCTGCTTTCGTTTCCGAGGTATAGCGCCTTGTTTTTTTGGCGTCGTGAAGTCACTCAGTCCCCCTACAATGTCATAGGAAAACCAAACCGTTTTTTCCAGTGAACGCGTGACTCTGCAGTGACCCCGTCTGCCGAGTTCAAGCGATCTGTTACAGTTTAGCTTGTACCCTTAACATTTTAAAGGCAATCGATATCCATAAACATATGAGCCTCCTTACATGTGAATAATACTAAGACATGACGCATGCTAACAAGTTAGCCATCTATGCAATAAACCTGTGGTTGTAATGTATGTAAAATCACCCCGATTGTAAGATCTATGGTTTTTATTTTCTAAGGCACGTTTTCCTTTTACTTTCCCTACCGTGACACGCTGTTGCCAAACGCGTAACTGTGGGATACCATCGCAACAAGACCTGCGGAGCATGTCATGATAGGGACCCCATGTATATCGCATGCTTATCACGTCTGGCACCTTGCTTCCATGCCACCCTCTCACCACTGTCGCAACAAAGGTCTCCTATCAGGACATGATATACCCAGATAGGACGTGTCGCAATATATGGACTTTGTGTGCAACATGGGGTCAGCATATCCTGTCAGGGTATGTCATATCGCGATATACGGGCTTCAT